GGATAGCATGATGAACTAGTATGTGGCCACAAGTCATATTATTAAGCTTACTAACCCAACCCATTGCATATGTGTGAAATAGCCATCTGAAATAGTCTTTGTTCGAGCACTCTGTCTGAAGGTGGTATGGTCAGATTTTTATATGAATATATCATCAGGCAGTTTCTTAATTTATATGCCAACTCAAGATTTTTCCCCAGTGTGAAGTTTTTAGTATGCTTTTAAATTTCCTAGTCAGAGGGACACAGCCCCCATTTTGATTCTGAAAATCCCCGACTGTTTGGACTGAGAACATGATGTCTGAGTGAGGTTTGTTAATTATTTGAACCAGGATTATTAGCCTGTTCAGATAAACCTCCCATATTGCGTACTGCTTGTGCTGCAATGTAAGAGCAACAGTCCTTGCCTACTGGTGTTCAGAACTGGGTTGGAATCAAGTTGCTACATCCCCTTCCTCACTCAGGTTCTATGTCCATAGCAATGCTTGAGATAAGGATGGCTTTGCCCATGCTTTTTCTTAGTTGATACCCATGATATAACTTGCAAACCTGAAATGGCTGTTTCATATGACTCTGTGTAATCAAAGCCCCTCCCAATTTCAGATAAATAGTGTGCTTTATGGAGATGGTTTCTTCTGTAACAGTTACAGGACATTCTGCTCTCTCTCCTCCCCAACCCTTGTTCTTCCTTCAAATTCCACTGCCCTGCTCCTTCTGGTTTTCCTTCTAAACTGCATATGTATTCATGCACCTTTCCTTTAAGCAGTTCAAGACCAAAAAAAAAAATCAACTTAGTCAAGTGACTGGGGCTACAGGTTGCAAGCACAGAGCCCACCGCAGAGTTCCCAGTCATCCAGATGCGTTGCCGGTGGGGCGAGCCTCCCAATTCTTCGTTTATTTGCTCTCGGTGCTGTACTTGCTTCCATCCTGTCAGTCCTGTGGGCTGAACTCTCCTGGTAGGACTCTTTCCTTTGAGGAATAGATGCTGTCTTCCTCCTCTGGGGGAGAGCCACTGATGGCTTACCAGTTATCACAACAGTTTTGCTCCTCATCCCAGAAGCCTTTGTTCAACTGTACTTTCTTTCTGCTAGCATTCCTCAGCTACCTTCACTGATGCCTCAGTCACCGACTGCTGTCCGTGACAACTTCATAGGACCAGTCTCCCGCTGCACTCCCCACTGCTGCCTTTGCCATTCTTTCACATCTGGACATCCTGGTTACATCTAGAGCAGCCTTATATCCTTGGCTTCTTTCATATATTGTGCTGCTTGTTGCATCTGTTGCACTTTTTAACTGATGCTGTGTGCTGTCACTCCATCCTGCCGGGGTTGCAGCAAATGGTCTCTCACTGGCAATAATGTTTTAGCTTTCATTGCTATCTTAGCACTGAGTTACTTCCCATTCCCCAGGAAGGTGTGTTGAAATGATCCAAAAAGAGCCAGGTGAGGATTCCCTGCAGCCTTAATTGCTTTTCGCTAGAATCTCTTGGCTTGTCAGCCTTCCTATTCTTCCGTGGGTATCCAGGGGAAGATGATGGAATTCGCATTTAGTGCAGAACTCTTTGAGTTCTTTTGAAGTGCATTGTGGGCCATTGTCTGAGAAAATGTGTGAGGTATTGCAAAAGCAGCCTCAGACTTCCTGACCCTGCGTGTCTTCACCATAATCCACTTCCCTAAAACAGTGCATGTTGAAGTTTCTCAGGAGTACTTAACGGAAGAGGGGATGTGTGGTTTGTTATCAGCTTGTTTATCTGTTCTCTGGCCAAACTGATGGAGCCATTCTTCTCCAAGCAGCACTGCTTGCAGATACTTTTCTCTCTGAGTATACTTCTCTTATGTTTCAGTCATTGCTCTACTAGCAAAAGCAATAGGCTGCTGACTCATAAGCATCAGATAAGTGTGCTCAAAATTTGGGTAGATAGTAAACATCCCAAACAGCTATATTCGTTTGACATTTGTGGTCTGGGGATCTCCATATGGCTCTTGCCTTCTCTGGATCTGGTCATAGTCCTTCAAATGTTAACAGATATCCAATATATTCTGTTCTTCTCAGCTTAACAGAATTTGGTCCAATCTTCTTCTGCCAACAATTTTTGAGAACTTGCTGTAGTCTGGAATCCTAGTTCTGGATTGACTGTTATCATTCCCTTCTTGATTCAGCTTCCTCTGAAAAAATTCAGGAGCAGGACTAACCCCCACCAGCATCCATAACCAGCAGTATCTGCCAAAGGGTGTGCTAAAGGCCATCAAGGGGCCACTTCTAGTTCCACACACCACAAACCATTTTTGACATCGCCATCTGAGACCACCTTTACTCTAGGCAGGTCTGACTGTGCACCCTTAATGGCTGTCAGTTGGCAGAGCCCTCTTTTGAGTGCTCTCTTGAGAGGCATTGGACTGATGCAGGTACTAAAATTGCCTGATGGCTTCCTTACTACTGCTAAGCTGCCAATCCATGCAGTAGATATTTCAGCCCGTGCACGTATGCCCAGCTGGAGGGCTTCTGCAGGTTTGTTGATTCTCTCTTCAGTGGCTCCAGCAAGGTTGGTGGGATTCTGCAATTGCCTTCAAAGATGGCATTGCCCTGGAATATGTCTCCGCATTTTGAAAGGTTGTTGGAGAGTGAATTGAATGCCTTTTAGTAACCTGGAGGATGTTGTGATGTTGTAATTAATTCCATGGCCGGTGTTGGTCAGCTGCCCAACAGTGGAAGGTGTCCACCCAGGCAATCTGTATGAATTCCAGGTGGTACTGTTTCTCCTTGTATAGATTTCTGAAAAACAGCTGGCACTGTCCCAATGGCTTCACATTGTTTTGTTCTAAACTAACAGTACTTGGTGACATTTCCCTTATTTTGTTGCTGCTACTCAATAAATTCCTAGATAGGACATTTCAAGTGGTTTTCCATCTACCTGGAATTTGCTTTGTTCCAGCATCATGGTTGCAGATATGGCCCTTTTTTCCTGTAATGTGTATACCCTGTGAGCCTGTGAATCTGTCAGCTTTTCAGAAGAGATCTCCTTTTCTTGGTCTCCACTCCTTCATCACTACAAGGACTCTTTTCCCCCTTCATTTGGGTCTCTGCGACACCAGTTTTGAAAACTTTGTTTTCCCTATCCTCTGCACTCTTTTCCATAGGCTGGGCATATATCTTTCCATTTTTCACCCACTGAATTATACTGTACATGCTTGTTGTTCTCTTAGTAGCCTCTCCCTCCAGGCAGACTCTCATCGGTCACATACACCTGTGCTGCACTACAGGCACCTACTTGGCTATACCGCTCCTTTAAAAGAGGAAACTTGGATAGTGGCTTGGGACCACACTATCCTTGGGGGTGTCTTACCCCATACATTCTCACCCATTGTTGAAGATCTCCAATGGAGGACCCACTATAAGTTCCTCTCCCTGTGGAGGTTAAGGGGGAGGTGGGATGGAGGAAGGCCTTTTCTGTGCTGGCCCCCCATTTGAGGAATGCCTTGCCACCGGAGAGTCATCAGGCACCGACTGATGCTCGATGGACTTCATGCCCCTTCCACCTCTACTATTCTATAATTCTATACTTTATTGAGTTTTCAGGCCTGATAAAAACTTCTTTTTCCACACACTTATAGTATTGCTTAAACTATCTATACTGACTTCACTGGTTCTAATTATAATTTAATGTATTAATTTTATTAATTTACATGTTGTCTGATTGTATATATTGTTTTATTTTGTTTATTTATTATAATTTTAATTGTGTTGTGTTTTTAATGTTATTACTGATATTTTTATTGTAATGGACACCCAGAGAGCATAATGCTAACAGGCAACTTTTATACAAATTTAATAAATTAATAAATAATGGAACAATCAATCAATCGATATTCCTTCCTCTTTACCAGGTATGGTTAGCTCTGTACAGAGACTTGTTTTTGCTCCCCCTGCTACTATGCCTGTACTCGGCTCCTTGTACTGAGGCCCTTAACAATCTGTTTTAATGGCTGTTGGGAGCATGGTTGTTCTCCATTCTGGGCTTCCTCGCAGACATTTCCACAGTGTTTCATGTGACACTGTTCAGTTTACGACCCCAACTTCTTAGAAATCAGTTGCTTTATGCAGAGAAGTTCCTACAGAACAGTTGCAGACCCCTTGTTCACTCCGTGCCTTTCTAAGACTCTGACTTTGTCTCCTCTTCCTCACTTCTTGTCCTCCTTCATATGTCCCCTTCCTGCTGCTGCTGGTTTTAGTTCTTAATGCCATACATAATTATACTACACTAGCAGAGCTTTCATATCACATCCAGCATAATGCTAACCCCTGGAGATCATTCATATATATGGCTGAGAGCTTCTGAGTAACTTCCTAAAATGTTCAGGATTACCTAGCAGGTTGTGTGTGTATTTGTGTGTGGATGGGGGGGGGCAGAGAGAGAGAGACTGAGAATTATCTCTGAGCACCCCATTGTGTTCTACTGCAACTTGTATTATATCACCTTAGCATTTAATTGCATAATTCTCTTGAACTTTGGCATTGAGATGTGCTGTGTGCTAGGAAGATTACCACTTTTTTAATTTGTTTTTGCTCTTCCCCAGAATACCGACAAGATGAGGGTGATGGCTGGTCTTCCTTTGTAAGTGTGCTTCAACTTTTCCATAGGTGTATGGCTTAGAGGACATAAATTGTGGTAAAGATCACAATACTGTTACTGCACTTTTTACAAACAGCCACATTCAGTTTTGGGGCTGAAGCTGAGCGAAACATGGAAAGCACAACAAGCAAGCAAACAGATTTCTTCAATATCTGGTTGGTTTGCTTGAAAAATTCAAATATTTTGTTTATTACACAATGTACTTTCTAAGGTTGCTCAGAAGGTCTAGTCACTTGCCTATTCTGAAGGTTCTTGTAGTGTAGAAGAGTCTGCTCATGTCAGTCCTGGAGAAATAGTTGATTTTCTGATCCTAAATAGTGTCCTTGAAGCCTACATTTCATATAACCAGACCCACACAGGAAAGGAGGTAAGGCCTTACCCCCTCACCCCCTGCTTACAAAGGGGCTAAGGCCTTAACAGGTGAGGACAGAAAACCAGGCTCCTAAACCAAGGTTCAACAATTAAGTTGGTATGTAGTATTAATAAATAAGGAATTTTGCAAGCCATCCCAGGAACCTACAAGTATGCACATGACAACACGTAAGTCTTCTGGACTACTGAATAAAGTGGCACCTGGAATCAACCTGTGCCAATGGCTGAAACACAGCTGCCAGGTTTCTATGGTTGCTGAAGGAGTTCAGCAGGCTCCAACACTGCACAATCAAATTTACCAAGATACAATATTTTTTTCTGGGTTCAGTAGGTATCTGGTAAATTAAGAACATAAGAAAAGCCATGCTGGATCAGAACAATGATCCATTGTGTCAAGCACTCTGTTCACACCATGGAAAACCGACCACCTACAGAATCCCACAAGCAAAATCTCTTAAGTACAACTCCCTCCCACCAAAGTTGTTCAACCACGGTACATATAGGCATATATACAGAAAGCAGCATATAGTCATCAGGACAAATAGCCATTCATAGAATTATAGAATGGAAGAGTTGGAAGGGGGCATGAAGGCCATCAAGTCCAACCCCCTGCTGTTGCGGGACACCAATTTACACCATCCCACTCAGATGGCTTTCCATTTATAGCCTGTTCCTCCTCCATGAGTTCATCTAATCTCCTTTTAAAATTGGTAGTCATCACTACATCTTGTGAAAGTGAATTCAGTAACTTAGCTACATATTTTGTGAAAAAGTGTTTCCTTTTATATGTCCCAAATTTCCCAGCAGTGAGCTCTGAGTTCTAATATTGAGGGAGAGGAAGAAAAATGTCTCTTTCTCCATTTTCTCCACACCAGGTATAATTTTGTATCCCTTTGTCATCCAAAGGAAACAAACTGAAGGAAAGGTGTTCAGAAGGTTTTGCCATTCTAAATTGAACCTAAATGAAATACTACCAGAATTCCTACTTTTTAAGAAGACCATGTAAATTAAGGGCATTACTCTTCTCTCCTGCAGCACTATATCAGTGTAACCTTTGCTTAATGGAATTTCCATTTATTCAAGCCTGAGAAACATCATTATGCACCCCTCTTCTCTTCCTTACATCAGTGAGGTTTGATGTGTTTTGCAATGAGAACTAGAATTAAATCGGAACTATAAAAGGCAACCTGGCTGTGTTAAGCTATTTTGGAAGACTGACATTTCTATTTTGATAGGAGGAAAGTGATGATTATGAAAGCCCCGATGAAGAAGAACCTGAAGGTAGTGTAGACTATGAAACCCCCAATGATCAAGATGGTGCTGAGGATGAAAATGAGGCAGATTATGAACCTCCTCCTTCAAATGATAATGAGACAGTCCGTAATATATTTCCTAACCAACGAACTACAATCACCTCAGAATACATAGGTAACCATTTCACACCTACTTTCCCACATTCCACGTCCGAAATGGGCTATCAGCAGGCCTGGCATCACTGTCTCAGGGTTGGGTACCTGCTAAGGGCCAGGAGCTGGCCTTCCTCACACCCTGAGTCACACCTTGGTGATAGCAAGGAAAAGGAAGAAGAGCAGCGGAGGTGGTTGTCTGCTTGCTCTCAGCTTTCCAAGGAAGCAAGTGGAAGCACTCATGCAAACACGGCAGCAAGAGCTGCTAGTGATCATGGTGGACTGAAAGCTGATCTCTGAGAGACGGGACCTTGTCTGGGAAATTTCAAAAACCTTGAGATGGCTCTGATTAGGAAAAACTGTGTAGCCTAGGGTAAGAAGTACAGAAAACCTCTTTAGATGATTTTTGGCAATCATCTAATCATTTCTTAAACTTCAGTTTGGTTGAGTCTTGGGAACTTATTATCCCAGGGAAGCTAGCAGACCCCTGGAAAAGGTTTATCACAGCATAAAAGGATTAATATATTTCTAATACTCTGAAAACCCATCTTGAAATTAAATACACAGAAAGGGCTCTTTTTGTAATATGAGCCAAGAAAAAGAAATGGATGCATTTTGGTACATTTTAATGCTTTTGCTTTATTTAGATAGATCAACAACAGAGAGATCTAAAGTACCTCTTCAGCCTCCCCCTCCACCAGAACGGCCTGGACCTTCCCCTGTACCACCACCCAGTAAAAACAGAAACCCTGGGGTATGTTTTGTTGGAAGAAAAGTAGTTTCTTTTTATACTTATTTTTTGTGAGGATTAAGGACACAGCAGCCTGCTTCTGATTCATGAGGAACTGCTGCGAGTCACAGGCTCCTGGCATCTTGCAGCTTTCGTGTTGCCTTCCGAAATGGCCTCCAGTCATTTACATTATTGGCTTGGCACACTGTTTATGTTGATCAGAAGTGGGGTGGTAAAATGAAGACCTTCTTCCCCATCAGGCATCTAAATTGTGCCTAAAATGTAGATGCATGAACCAGAACTAATTAGAAATAGGCCAATATTTTTGCAAAAAATATTTGCAAAATCAGGGAACCAGCAGGTCTCTGATATGTGGTAGTTTTGATTCTTGCTTGGCAGCTATGGCATGCCCTCAAATATCTCAGCACATTAAATCCAGTCTGAACTATCATGTTGTAAGACACAGTATTTACTACACATTATTATTTTAGCAGCCAAATTTCCTTCCTCCTACAAGCAATAATGAAAGTAGAGAAAAAAGCACCAAGTCTTTTAAAAGTAAGTGTCATTATTGAATCGTGTTTTAGATGTCATTCTTTAAAATATTTTCATTGTTCAAAGCATTTCCTTTTTATGATTGTCTTCTTTTCTGCATCCCTCAATGGACTAATATGTGACTTAATGTTATGCTAATTCTAAGAAGGAATGAATTCTACTAGTTTATATGGTAGAATTATATGCAGTACTGACCAGCTCCTCCACAATTGGTATACTCAGGCAGGCTGCCTTTGACAAGGTAGCACATACCTAGCAAAGCTAATAGCCATTGGTAGCCTCTTCCTCCTTTTAAAGCTTTCTAAACCAGAGGTCATCACTACTTCCTGTGGAAGTCAAGTCTAAGTGCTGTGTGAAGAAGTACTTTTTTATCTGTCTTTACTCTTCCTCCAGTCAGCTTTCTGAGATGACTCAGTGTTCTAGTGTTGTAGGAGAGGGATCAAAGTGTCTCCCTTTCCACATTCTTCAAGCCGCAGATAATTTTAAACACCTCGATCATGTCTCTCCTTACTTGCTTCTTTTCTAAACTAAACAACCTGGGTTGTTGTAACCTTTCCTCACAGGGAAATGGCTCCAGCTCCCTGATCAGTTTTGTTGCCCTTCTCTGTACTTTTCTCAATTGAATAATTTGCTTTTTCACCGGTGGTGGACAGAGCTGTACACAATATACTAAGTGCAGTCACGCCAAATATTTGTGTAAGGGAATGCTGTCTTTGCAGTTCTATTTTCACTTCCTTTCCTAATTATCCTTAATGTGGAGTTTGCCTTTTCACAGCAGCTGTGCACTGGGTCAACATTTTCATTGAGCTGCCACTACAACCTCAAGATCCCCTTCTTGATCAGTCACTGCTAGCTCAAATATCATCAAACTATAGTTGAAGCCGGGCTTTTTGTCTGAACATGTGAACGAAAAGCAGGCAGGATTCCCTACTCCCCTGGTCAATTGGGCCAAATCCTGCCCAAAGAGTTCCTGGTTCCAGAACCCTGGATCAGCCACTGGACTCAGCCCATGACAAATCCAGGGCTGGAGAAACAACCAATTTATTACAAGGTTAAAATATAGGGGTGGAGAGACTAAAACACAGAATCTAAAAAGGATAAAAACAGGAAAGAGGGGGAAGGGAGAGGGAAAGGGGAATTGGGCAGCATCCATGAGACAAGTCACAGCCAGCCCAGAACCCCAAGAACCCCACTGCCAGGGCCTTGATGGCCCACTCAGACAACAAAATAACAAACAGCAGCTATCCTAGTCTGTATCTAGAAACTCGACATTTGAACAGCACAGGTATACAGGATGCCACAGCACTCTTTAACATGGAGAAAGAGCAGCAGGCATGGGATGTCCCAAGAGGCTGCTCAACTCTTCTCAGCCTAGCTCAGCTGACCCATGGGATGATGGCCCCTCTCCCTGGGGCCATCCATGACCTCCAAGTGCTATCCTGTTATCGCTGGTGTCCTTGAGGCCGATTCTGATCGTTCTCACCTCCTTAACACAGAAGGGAGGAGGATGCCTCCCAAAGGCCTTGGGCTCCGATTCCCTCTGAGCTGGCACCTGGTACTTCCAGCATTTTGTCAGTCCCTAGATTAAACTTTCTCCTGCCTTCTGGAGCCTCAAGAGCTGGTTCGTGTTACAAGCATGCATTACTTTCCACTTGCTTAACTGAACTGCACTAGACAGATGCCCATTCTCCCAGCATAGAGTGATCTCTTTGGAGAGCCTCACCATCCCTTTTGGTTCTAATGACCCTAAATAGTTCAGTCCCATCAGAAAACTTGACCACTTCACTGCTGATGCCTTGATCTCATTGGCCCAGCCAGCTGTTCCCTCACAAAAGCCAAGAAGGGCAAGGATACAACATGGCTGTGGTTCACAAACTTGCGCAAGCCCCTTGTCAGCATCCTTGATCTCATGAACTGAATCTTATCCAATATAACTTCAGCAAGTTGTGTTCTGGCTCAGTTACCTGGCTCAGCTGCTATAACCCTGACATCTGAGTCCCAGCAGATGCAAGGTACTAAGGCTCATACTGGCACAATGTCTGATACAACATTTCTGCTTCATTCTAGCTCTTGGTCCTTCTGTGGATCGAAGCAAAAAGCCTCCACTAGATCAGCCAGGACCACCATTTGACAGAAACATGATGGGTTAGCATTTGTTTATTTATTTATTTGTGGCTATGACTATTAACTGCTGGCATTGTCTGCTCAAAGTAACATATGTGAATGTAAGTGGAATGTCCACTGGCAAGTATATGTTACAGGCAATTGCGAAACAGGTATCTGTGGCCCAAAAAGTAAAGCACCAGAAATATGGTATGAGCTGCTGTGGATAAGCAATGAACAAGAGCTCTTTAAACTGAGCTACAAATCCACAAATGTGGTGAATGTATAGAAAGGTCTCCAGAATGTCTATTGAGTGTCCAAACCAGCCCTTAAACAGAGAGGAAGTGCAGAAACGGGAAGCCTGACTGAGCATAAAAACCAATGTGAATGCATTATGTGTTATATGTATCTTTATCATGAGACATCACTATCTGATTCTAAATGACAAAGTTTTTTTTTCTCAAGTGGCAGTTGAGCAATTAAAAGGACAAATAAAAAGCATTAATAAGGCACAACAGCAGATATATGTGCACAATAAAATAGGTTTTCAAGGACCAGTCCAAAAGCTTTTAGACTTCGAAAAGTTAAAAGCCCTGTGCAGTATCCAGCAGCAGTCTTTCAACCACTGCTAGTTCTGTTGTACACATGAGAGTTACTGCTTGCACAATAGGGGTTTTGCATCCTAAAAGTAATAACCCCAGAGCTCCCTTCTGCAAGCTCCACAAACGGTCCCATTCTGGAAAGGAGTGTTTCTGCTGATTTCAGCTTCTGTTTAAAATGGCAAAAACTCCACTGCATTAACAGTGAGTCCCTTTGGCACAACGGCAGAATAAGTTGCTGTCAGATTTCACTCCAACTGAGTAACATACATTAATCCTGCTTAATCTAGGTTTGATAGCATAAGCTTGAATTGTGCTGTCTTATTGTCTCCCTGGAAAATATTACTTTTCACATCTTCTAAAAGAAAATGTACAGGCAAAGGAGTTGTATATTCTTGTCTTCAAGCTTGCCAAATTAAAGAGATGCTGACTACTCAGTCCTCATGGAGCTGCATACATTATGAAAAGCTGAACAGCCACGTAAAATATGTTCATTTGGAGAGTTTCTACAGAAGATGATGCCCCCCTGCATATATTGCATGTGTAACAGGATGCATTTGTCAATTTCACTCTGTCATTTTTCCATACTATGGTTAGGTAAACTTAAACTTTGTTAGTTTCTTCAGTCTTAAGTTTGGTCTGTCTGTAATTTTGAGAATTATTTTTTGAAAATTTGCCTGAAAATGTATAAGTAGGTTTGCACACATTTCTCCCAATGCACACTTTTGTATGGATTTTTGCGTAATATACAGATTTCAGGAAACTATTTTACTGATACAATGCATTTTTATTGGAAAGCAACTGAATTTTGAACTGGATAGTGATTCAAAAATGTGCAACTAACTGAATGAATTTATTCTCCATCCATATATGTAGAAGATTCATGGGGCTGCCCTTGAAGACTGTTCAGAAGTTGCAGCTTATGCAAACTGCAACAGCCAGATGACTAACTGGGATGGGAAAGTCTGAACATATTAGACCAATTCTGGCTCACTTGCACTGGCCACCAGTATGCTTCCAAAGTGCTGGTTTTAGCATATAAAGGCTTAAATGGCTAGGGACCATCATTCCTGATGGAATACCTTTCCCAACCAGAAATTACGATCTGCGTGCTCCGACTGTCACTTTGGAGTTGGCACAAAGAAAGGAGAACTCAATCTCAATGTCCCCACCCCTACCGAAATGGAATGACCCCCCCCACCCACTGTTGCCGTCTGCCACCAAAGCTGTCATCTTTTGGGCATCACATTAAGACTGTCCTATACCCTCAAGCATTTATTGGTGTATGATAGGCCATATTTGCTGTTTTAACAGACATAGTTGTTTATATTGTTTTCAATTTCATATATTGAATATTTATGCCATATTTTATGGTACAATGATACCTCGGCTCATGAACGCCTTGGTTCACGAACAAATTGGGTCATGAACAACAATTTCTGAAAATTTTTGACTTGGGTTACAAACACTGCTCTGGGTGGCGACCAAGATCGCAGCCACCCTACCCCCTGTGGGGAGACGGCCACAATTGCCGTTCCGTTAATGCAGGGAAGGCCTGCGTGATCAGAGGCGTGCTGCTGCAGGAAAGGTGGGAGCAGCAAAGCAGAACCGCAGGGGAGATGGCCGAGATTCCGCCTGTCTTTCCTGCAGGAGTGCCCCTCTGATCACGTGCTTCCCTGCAGGAAAGCAACTGCGATTGCAGCCATCTCCCCACCCCCAGCGCACTGTTTGCACTCATCTCTCCCTCCCCCACTGCGCCCGCAATCATGCCCGTCTCTCCCTCCCACCCCCGGGATGACAGGTGCCTGCAGGGATGACAGGCGCATGCAGGGATGACAGGCATGATCTTGGTTGTTCTGGGGGAGCGGTGAGATGGCCGCGCTTGTGCTTGGGGTGGGGTGGGGGGAGATGGCTGTGATCTTTGTTGTTGTCACTTTGCTTCACATTTTCTGATTTTTAAAAAAATGGTTACAGAACGGATTAATCTTATTTACATTGAACCTTATGGGGAAATTTAACTTGGCTCATGACCAGTTTGGGTCATGACCAGAGTCCTGGAACGGATTAAGTTCGTGAGCCAAGGTGCCATTGTATCTGTATTTATGCTATGCTACTGTATCTCTGGGTTGTTTTTTGTGAACAGCTACGAACTGCCCAGAAAGCATTAAATAAAGAAATGCATTGCCACACTACTGATCCCATCCCCAAAGTTGAACTATCTGCACCCCCAGCCTTCATACACTGAGCACAGTGTGAAAAACAGAAACAAACAAGCATCTGCTCAGATTAATCAATATTTACTAATCAGAGATGTAGGTGGCACAGTGGTTTAAACTGCTGTGCTGCTAGGCTGGTTGATTGAAAGGTCGCCGGTTCGAATCTGCACAACGGGGTGAGTTCCCATTGCTCCGCCCCGGCTCCTGCCAGCCTTGCAGTTCGAAAGCATCCAAATGCAAGTAGATAAAAAGGTGCCACTTTGGTGGGAAGGTAACAGCGTTCTGTGCACTTCGGTGTTTAGTCATGCCAGTCACATGACCATGGAGACTGTCTGTGGACAAACAAGACAAAGAACTTCCTTCCTTGTTATTTCAAAAAGGGGTGACACGTAGAGGTTGGTATGTTCATATGTAACGTAGAAAAGCTAAGCTACTGTTCTTGGTGAAGCTTTAGTAATTCAGTTTAAAGCTTCCAGGATTTCTGACCATTGGCCATGCTCATAAGGCAAATGTTACTTGAGGTCAAAGACATCTAAAAAGCTGCAGGTTGGGAAAGGCTAAAATAACCAGAAGACAAGGTTGCTTCCTGGAAAGAAGTGTGTAACACATGAATGCAGTGGATGCCTTGCTTTGTGTGAGGACAGAGGGTTTGTTCCATCTTCTTGCATTTCGATAAATATATCCATGATTCAAATCATGACATTCCATTAAATCATATTATCAAACCTGACAAAACAAATACTTACTTCACTATTTACAACCAAACAACTAGTTTGACTAACACTTTTTTCCTGTTTTATTTCATTTAAAATCTTTTCAGGCACAAGAACTTTTCCTGAAATGGTAAGAATTCCTTCAGTAATATTCCAGCATGTCTTCATATATTATTTTTTGAATTGTATTTATGTTTCCTTTTAATTTGTCCTTCCTTTCTTTCAGTCCTCAGCACCACAGTTCAGGTAATGATTTAATTTTCTGTGACATAAGCTTTCAGAATAATCCACCTAGCATGGTTCATTAAAAGCAATTGGCCCTTACTATGCTATTTTCCTCTTTTGTTTTAGGTCCCTGGGAAAAGAATTAGCAAAGTTACAGAAGCCTCCTGTGCCATCGATTGATGGATATGACAGAAACAATCCTACTGTCAGGAGGAAGCTGCCACCCATAAAGTAACCAACATTTATATTTTTTAAATAACGCACCATGAACCTTGAAAAGTACTACATACTGATTTGTTACTTCCTCTCTATAACAATATCATGGCCTCTGCCCGTGAAGTTGCTTGGAAAAAACTCTGGAAATAGTATTTTCATTTTTAAAGCTCCATTGTCAGAACTTCCCTGAACTAGAAAGCAAAGCTCAAGTCACCAGTGTGAGGCAAAGTCGCGATTATGGTAGCATGATGCCATGTTGGCACGTTATATGACATTCTGATCAAGTGGGAGAAGCACTGAAATGACGTGTAGTGTGGATGATGGGGGATGGGGGATGCTGCGCGTCAGCGCTTTCCCTGCCATTTGCTCTGCCCTTGACAGTGCTGCCTCCTAAAAGTGAGGCCTTGATATAAAAAGTAAAGCCCATGAGGAGAACAGCAGCACCCCCTTACCAGCCATGCTGCTCTTTAAACCCTCTCCCCCTCTTGCTAACACATTGTGCTTGACCTGTGCTTTACTTGCAAAAAAGGAAGAATGCTAGAAACTTCCCCCTTTAGAAAAGCTACTTTGTAGGGATGGGTGAAAAATTCACTCTGGCAAGGCTCCCTCCTCCCACTTACAGTTTTACATGGCCCAGTTTATGGACCAAAACCATTTGAACAATGTACAGAATTGAAACATGCTTGAACAATGCTGTACTGGGAAATCAGTGTGGAGTAGTGGCTAAGAGCATGGGCCTGGTTCCAGTCCCCACTCAGCCATGGAGCCAAATGGGTCACTTTGGGCCAGTCTCAGAGCCCAACCCACCTCACAGGGTTGTTGTTGTGGAAATAAGACTGAGAGCAGAAAGAGGAGAATGATGTAAGCTGCTCTGTGTTCTTTAAAAAGGAAAAAAGGCAAAAGAAAAAAGGTAGAAATCAAATAAATAAAAATACATTTCTTTAAAAATGCAAAAATATGCTTTAGTCAATGAAAATGTGCATTCATTAATACCTCATTTGAAAAACACATAAAATGCACATTTTTCCTTTATTGCATTTAAAAAATCAACATGGAACTGCCACAGAATTATCTTTAGTGGGGAAAGGAGGCTGAAACAGCCTTGACAAGATTTGCGCATCATTTCTATATTGCAGTGACTGATAAGCTGATTTCATATGGAAGAAAAAGATTCACACAGAGGCTGCTGCACTAAGGATGCAATCTTATGCCTGCTGAGACAGAAAAAGGCCTGTCGCTTCCAGCATGCCCCAGTGGCAGGACTGCATCCTTCAGGCAGCCTACTCTGAGAAAGTATATGCGTGGCCGACTCTCTTCTGTGAATATGGTGGCATTTCCTTTCTTATACCAAATGCATTTTCTCTTAGAAGAGTGCCTGAGACCTTGAATCCTTCCACTTTTAGCCTTGTAAATGGTGGATGAGTCAATGGACAGTGAATTGGACTAGTATATAATATCTGAACCAGTTATTAATTCCCAGATTATATAAAATTCATCATTCTTAAATCTTTTTCCCATCTAGCAACAATCAGCTCTCTGAAAAAAATGCAGAAGTAAGTACACATTTATGACAAAATCTATTGTAGACTATATAGTTCATGTCTTCCATTAAAAAAAAAGAAACCGCTTGAATTTTGCCTGTCCTTGAAAGAGTTGTGGGATTTCTTGCTCAATGATTGTGCTTAGCAGCAAACTGTGCATGCACCCTTTTCCCCTGCCACCAAAATTTCCAGCATGGGAGTTCATGTCTCACGTTCAAATTGGGACCCTACATACTTTCTGAAAAGTAACTTCTAAGTTTCTGGGAGCACCACATAACCAAGAGCTTCAGTCAGAAGTAACAGAGTAGGGTATAAGGCACATGTGGACTTCAAACACTTGGGTTCTTGGGTCTCTGACACTATTTTTTGTCAAATATGGAAATTTCTTCAAAATATAATATTTTCAAGAACAGACTTATGAACACGTTTACTGGGTCTAGTTTGGTTAAAAACCTTTCACTTTATTTAAAAGCTGCCTTCCATCAGGAAGCAGATGCTCTTTTAAAAATTATCTCTGTTGCTGCTGTTTATGCTTATACTAAAACCTCAGGCAATAGATACTATCTTTAAAAAGACACCCTCTAACAGAAGAGAAATGGCCTCTTCTGTGATTATATCTCTTGTGACATGTATGATATTTATGTAGGGATGTGATGAAATTGATTCAGTTTATATTTTAATGCAAACTCACCTAATTCACATTTCCCAAACAATATATGATTCAAAATCAATTTATACGTAAATTGTTTCCTTTTTCCAAATTTTGCACCATACTTTTCCAATTTAAAAGGCAAAGTGAAAACTACAACTACAGTATCAGTGAAAATGACATGAGGCAACTGCTTGAAAATATGTATATTAGAAAAACTGCATGCAAAAAGTCATGCTTTAGGAGAAATATGCCCAAATTTTCATTCAGATTTAAGCTGGATAAACTGTGCTGGCAGAAGGGAACTTCCTTGTCCCTCCTTCCCACAGGAAACCTTCCAGCCCCCGAGAGTGCTACACAAAGAATTAGGAGACCCTGATAAATGGGGTGAGCCATGGTGTGGTGTGGGAAGAGCAGTCCCAAAATTAAGGTAGGAGGATCTTTTACAAGAGTCCTTCATTTCACAGAAGACAGATCCCGTATCCAGCTCTCTGAGGCATATTTCTGGACACACATGTATAGGATTGCACCATGTGAGATTTTTAACTAGGCAACTCTAATCTTATTTTATTTTTTTTCTTTCAGATGGAAGACAGCGGTATGTAACAGTATTATCATTATTCCATTTTTTGTTGTCATTGCTCTTGCAGTTGTTACTAGCAAATGCAACTAGATCTAACGTAGCTATTTTTCAGTTAGAGGTGCAGGCTAAGGAATTAAGCTAAAGGTAATCCAGAAAACATTACTTTTGAGGATGAATCTAAAGGAATACAGAGATGTTCTCTGCTCCACTCTCCTTTGAAGGGAGCAACCTAAACTGCTTTCAAATTGCATTGAAGGGAAGCTTTTGGATCCATCCTTGTGCCTGACAATCCTGAGTATTTTTATTTTTCCAGCAATGGTGTTCCAAGAGAGGGCTGTATCACATTTAAATCAGCTTGACTGATATTCATGTCTTTAACTTCAAGATTAGGCTCTATTATGCATTCTTCACAGAGTCCACATACTTCCCTGCTATTTGGAAATTGTAGTTGCCTGCCACCTGGTGGGGATCACTTCATAGAAACACTTCAAGCACCTGCATTGGCTTTTCTAAAAATTTAAGGTGCATTTGTTCAAAAAAATCCCTAAATTCTGAGAACAACATACAGGCATTGACCACTGTTGAGCACAAGTATTTTCTGAAGCATCAACATGAAAAGCTCATGTATGTAGCTATAAGCCCCAAATCATAGCCCCAAATCCCAACAATCAGGCAAATGTGAAGAGAATGCTAGGACACATTGCTTAAATGCCAGGAAAACAACCTCCTTTCTGTTTCTTTATTCCTTGAGACTCTGTACATAAATCCACAAGACATGGTGAACCAAGCAAAGGCATACTAGAGAAATTCAGAGAATGCTATTGTTTAGGTGTTTACCAGCCAGTAACATGCCATAGTGTATATTTGAGATATGCCAACATTTTGCTCAACAGGAATTGGACAGCAAATTGGCCATTTGATAAGTGACAGCTATGTGATAGAATGAGCTTAAATTCTATGCCCCCCTCCAAAAGAAGAGGCACCTTTGGTCATAGATTATGATGGTCTTCTTGTGCATGTACAGTCACAGCATACCAACTTGAACAGCAACATGTTGCAACTGTTTCACTGCAAGATGTAGGCAGTGGATAATTTTGTGCATACTAGGTTTAGAAAGCCTACTATAGCAATCACCTGATAATCTGCTTGAACCTACCAAATAGTCATACATTTAATTCTGGAACCAGAGGGGCTTTTGTGTCAGAAATAGATTCAAGAATAAGGGATGGAAATGCTGTGGACATCCAGATGAATAAAATCTAGATCTGCCCACCCCTTTCCAGAGTGTAAGTAGTTCCATTAATTCTTATTTGCTTTCCCATTTATTAAGCGATCTTTCTTTCTCGCCATTGCCTTTGCAGGTGTTCCTCAAAGGCCCCCTCAGCAGCCACCTTTGCAGTTATTTAACACATTTCCTTCCAGATCTAAGCCACACTCTAAACAAGTTCCTTTACCACCCAAGGGTCTATCTGAAGCATATCCAGAAAGGTCTGTTGAACTGAATTGACCACTGCTGTAAATTGTTATATTATTTATGTTGCATCTTGTTCATTAATAATCTTAATTATCTGAGAAAAGTTTTGAGTCCATACTTTAATGCAGCAAGAGCCACTCATGCATAGATTCTCTCCTCCTCACAAGTGGAAATGGAAAAAATAATCACAACAGGAAGTAGTAATAAGTCCCATTGCACAGCAATGGGAATTGAAATGGGGAACAAAACAGCAAACAAACAGCAATGGATTGGGGCAACTGAACAGATGGCACAGATAGAGAGAAAGAGGATATACATGGACTGACAGCTGTTTGGTCAATCCTATAAAGAAGGCAGAAGATGGAGGGAAAGGGCCAAAAGTCAAATGAAGTTATGGGTAAGCCATGTGGCTGGGTGAAGAAGGAAAGGCTGATACCTAGCGAAGAGAAAGGAGGGAGACTGAGACAGGATAATGAGAGGCCGAATAACATTGAGCTATAGCTCAGAATGTATATAACATGGCCATCTACAACTCTTCCAAAGTTGTGGAGGAAAAGAAAGGTTAGAAAGGAAAAAAGACTGACACACAAATTACCATATTCCAAAAAGGATTCATTTATGAGGTGATGGTTCCTTCCTCAGGGATTCATGAGGATTTCATCTTTGGAACTTGAACATGGGAGTTCTGAGGGCTGTGCTTTATGAGTTATAGACAAGTAGAATCACCCTGGCCCTCAGATACAGTAAGAAGATGCTGTTTGTTGTTTAGATAAAAACACAGGAAAATGGCTGTTACAGGGAAAAGTGGGCTTTGCCCCTGTATGTTTCTTTGAGTCATGTATAGTGCCAAATAACTTAAAACAAAAAACTTGAATCCTCCAAATTGGTGCAAGAAAAAAAAAGTGTGTGTTTGTGGGTGGGTTAGCACTAAGGAAAGGCAAACCCTTCTTACCTGCCAAAAGAAAAATGAGGTTCTATCTGAAAAGTGAATACCTCATTAGAGGAGATCTAAACTAAACTAAACTAAACTATTGATGAATTAACCCATTGACAAATTCATTTCTAATTGAAAATATTCCTTTGGAAAACTCTAGTTTTGGGGAAGCTTACCCTTAAGATCAAAACAGACACATCAGTTTGAGTTTCCTACTATAAGTATCTAATGCAAGGCAGAGTGCAAGAAGAAGATAAAATCCGTATTTTGGGTGGTTCCTAACATTGATGGGTGCTCACATGTATGAATGTGATTACCTATTTGTTTGCCAGGGTATCTTCCCTGTGTTGGGATGACTTGGTTGCTTTAGGAATCTGGCAAAGAGTAAGGCATGCATATTCCAAAGGTCCCAGCTTCCTGAGCCAGAGGCTGGGGAGCCATGTCCATGTGCTATGTTAACAGAAGACAGTCAGAATACACAGTGCCTTTGCTTGGTTTCAAGCCTCCATTTAGAAATCTTGCCAGACAAAACTGATTCCCTCCCCCCCCCTTTTTTTTTTTGGAGTCAAGGTGCCAGGAAATATTGAAAAGAGATAACATGGCTAAGCTGATTTGTAACAGCATGACTAGATATAACTAATAATTAATAACAGAGTTTTCATTCATATATGCTAATCATTTTTTAAAAAATTTACAGCACTGTTTCATCAACTGGATCACTACCATCACATCTTCCACCAAGTATGTATCTTAAAAAATAACTCTCGTGAAAACCTCTTACATTTTGATATCATCTAATTCTAACCCATGCAATCTGAAACCTTTTCCATTAAAACAGACAGAAAATACTGTAGAATGAAACACATTTATAAAGCATTAGCAGTCATAGCCCAAAACAGTAATTAGACAATCCAAACCAAATCCTTGTGGCATGCACACTAAAACTATAGGGCAGAGTTCAGCCTTGCAAAAGCAACTGATTTTGCATTTTAAATTCAAAAATCACTGCTCATTGATTAGGTAAAGCTTTTACTCACATAATAGAACTAGTGAGACCATTACAAATGATGGTGTCTATGGATACATGGCTATAAAGGTGGAGAGCAGCTAAGTTGCCCACTCCAACTTCCTTTCTCGGTTCCTAAACGCTTTTGCCACATCTCTCCATCCCTTAGACCTGCTTTCCACAGTCCTTGGCTGCCATTAGACATCCTGGTTTCTCCCCCACCTCCCCTTCTTGATCTCTTGTGACAATTTGGTCATTGACTAGGGAAACTATATGGGATTTCTATATTTAGTTTGACAATAGCTTATTCCAGGCACAAAGGGAAGAATCCAATGGTGACTGCCTATGAGCATACAGCTTTGCTAATTTCATTCCAAAAGCAGTGCCCTCTGCTTGTGCAACAGTTACTGCTCCTTGAAGCAACCCAAAAGAAGCATAAGTGTCCATTTCTAGAATAAAGAAAATCAGGGAAGCTTCCATAAGTCAGAAGATGATCTTAAGGATGAATCATTTCTAAGGCCTGTCTTCCCCAATCAATTCCAACAAGCTTCTATTGGCCCCTTCCAGCCTGCAAGGTGTGTATTATAAACTCTATTTTTCATCAGATTCATACCAAGCAAAGCTGCAGTAAAACAGAATGCTAGTCTGAAAGACTTGGTCAAGCTCATATGCTGTTATGTTCCTTGTGTTGGTTCAGGGTTATTAACTATGTTTCAATATCCATCCAGTAGACTTGCTTTGATTTTTCAATATGTTGAAAATTTTTGAAGGAAACATCTCCAGAAACTTTTCTAAAGGCCCAGCTGATGGCAGGCCACCACTACCCATCCCTACCAGACCGAGTCCACAATTTCCCAGAGCTGAGAACGAAGACATGGAACAGTGCTCTAAGGTACAAGAATGCCACCAAGAGATGTTTGATGTATTGTGAATTGCCAACAGATTATTTATGAGATACAATGTCAGACTCAGCTGCTGCATACAAGGGAGCGAGGCATGGGAACACTGGTTAAGACAACGTAAAGGAAAGGAAAGCCCATGACAAGGAGCAGCAGGAAGCTATGTCTTTTTATCACTAAAGCCAAAGAAGGGGCCAATGAAGGAAAATGTTCCACGGGTCAATGAGATCTGGCTTCCACTAATCCTGTTGTCAATCCATTTCCCACCATGCAGTCCTTTTTTTCTCCTACTGACCTGCTTCAGTGAAGACTCAAACTAGGCAATGAATTCAGCCAACACTAAGTGCATTTTTGTCCCTGCTTAATTTTCTCAGAGCATCCCCAAGCTATTTGTTTTTTTAAAATATTTTGAACTTGACCTTCATTTTAAGATACCACAGTGGTAAGCAAAAAACAAACACAAGAAATAGATATTTTTAATTTTTTTCTTTCTGTTTACAATAATCAGCAAAATAAATCAAGAAATATACCAAATAATAAACCAGCGAAAGGTGATAGAAAAAGGGGGTCACTATTGGACCTGGGAAAGGAAACAAAATAGTTCCACTGCACAGGTGGCCTGAAATACCTGTGGGAGGTTTGCTGGGCACAAGCCAATGTAAGCTGAATCATCTGCTCCAGAAACATTAGCAAGGAGGGTTGTCATGTTGTGAAAATGTGCCCATTGGGTACCTCATGAACAAGCATTTTTAGCTCTCAGTACTTTGGATTCTTTTGCCCCCTGAACTTTATTAACTAATAAAATACTGTGCCTCTTTCATTTAGCTCGTCTCTAATCAGGATGTCCAAAAACAGAAATGGTATGCTGCTGATACCACCCGGACTGATGCAGAAGTTGCCCTTAGGCGTATAAACCAGGTGAAGAGTTAAATTATATGCCTGTGCTTAGGTAATATGAGAAAATTGTTGACTGTTCTAACTGAAATACTGAGGTTAATCCTAAACACATTTACCTGAAAATGAAATCAGACCTGTTCATAGCGCTGATTATGTTTGTCTTATGTGTTCCTTTTCTAGGATGGCACTTTCTTAGTAAGAAACAGCTCAAAAAAAGCTCTCGAACAGCCCTATACCCTAATGGTACTTTATCATAACAAAGTATACAATATTCAGATACGTTACCAGAAGGAGGATAAAACATACTTCTTAGGAACTTACCTGAAAGGAAATGAGGTATGATATGATTTCACTCTGTTTACCATCATCCTTCCAATGTGGCAACAGGTCATTAAATATGACTTTGTACATTGTCATATTACTTCTGCTTTAAACCTTCTCCAGATTCAAATGCAATGAATAAGCACAATCAAGTCTAGAACATTAACCAGAATTAAGCAGAAGACCTATCGCTAGCTCTGCCTGCCACAGTATTTGGTAGAGCATCAAGGAAGCCAGGGAGGGTGCTTGCCATGGTTTGCAGCAATTCTCTCTTTCTAGGCTCCCTGTCTCTCTGATTCCTACACTAGAGTGTTTGCTTCTTGTGCTGGGCCAGCAGGGCAGACTGGGGATTCTGCTTGTACACCATCACCCCAAGACCAACAATCTTCCTATCTGAGCTGACAGAGGTTGTCTTGGTTGCAATGCTGAGGTTCCCCAGGCTGCTCATTCCAGGAAATATTAACATTTATGTAGAGGGTATCCTACCTGGCTCAGGATTTCATTGACTCAGTGACCATCACGGGACTGTTCCAGGATGTCATTGGTCCAATGTATGACAAACAAACTCCGGATTTGTTTTTCTCACCCTGGCATGTAAGAAGGTGGGGGACTTTGAACCAGTCCCTCTGTAATGTCCAGATCACTTTCTCCTGAGATTTAGACTAACAGTGATTTTTCCCTCTGCAGAAGTAGAGGAGCTTTTAAGAC